TCTCTCTAAATTTTCATTCCATCCGCCAAAGTGTTTACCGCTCTTCTTAGTTTGGTCACCTGCAAATCTGATCAGTACTCAGTCTGTCCTTGCACCCACGTCCATCTCAGTTCATCTCCTAGCAATTAGTACCTGACTCCATGTATGGAGGCTAGTTGTTGTCTCCTGACCCGCACCTCCAGTAAACTTATCTGATGCTCTTTCATATATGCATGAATTGTGAGAAGGAAGATGGCAGAGCAATTTTTTTCTTTTTTTTCTGGGGAGAGAGGGAGGATAGTGTGTCTGTGTGGCAGAAAGTGGCTTTAGATGATGTCTGGAAACATGGTGTTTTTGGTGACCGGCTGAAAGATTTAAGGTTAAAGTCCAAATTTGGTGTATGAAGGACAGTGAGAGAAAGATCAGAACAATGAAGGAGATGTAAATGTGGGTATTTCCTGCATAGAAGCAATGTCACTGTGACTTTTAGGTGATTTACCAGAAATAGGATGAGAAAAATGGAAGAAAAGATGGCATTAGAATGGTGAAGTCTGTTTAACACAGAGATGGGCAAGTCTGTTCCTCTGGGTCCATGAGTGTGTCTTTGTGAGATGCTCTTTAAACACCTTCAGTTGCCTCTGTGGAAAAAATGAAGTTTATTTTCTACCTGTGGGGACTTTTTACCATCTTTTAATTTTCACTGAGCCTGACGAAGGCCATGTGTGGCCAAAAGCTTGCAGAAAGATATATTTTTTTTTTTTTTGCGATTTCTTAGTTGGTCTAATAAAAGGTATCATCTCTGAACCAAGAGTTCTAGAGTTTTGCATTTCTTTTTGTCTCAGAACAACAGTACTACCAAATATAGTACAGTAGTGGAACAGAAATGTTATTTACTTCATGAGAGGTATATACAGCACATTTATAGGCTCTTCATTTAACAGGGAGGTAAATACACAGTAAGTTACAGATGTCAGGCCTTTTAAAGCCCTCCCATCTGTGGTTGTATTTAATTTCATAGTGTTATGGTGAGGAGGGGGATAGCACTTGAGTGTCTTCAGCTTTATAACAATGCTGCCACTCAAGTTTTGTTTTCTGAGAGGGAAAGTGCTATCTCTGATTGGAACATATTTTGGCACCACTTTTTTGAAATGGGGAAGGGCTAGACAGATTAACAACCAACCAAAGGAAAAAGGTTCTCCATTTAGAAAATTCACACTCTCTCTTTGGTATTGATTTTTTTTTTTTTTCACTTTTTGTGCATGGTACAAGAAAGCTTCTGATCTAAAGCTGATACCTTATTGTACCCAGTACTAGAGTGACGACACTGAAATGGAAAGCAAAGGATATAAGCTTTCATGTTAGAGACATATATGGGAGACCTGGAAACTGATGTTTTTCATAATATCTTAATTCTATGCATCCCTTATTTTATTGGCATAAGGCTTATCTTGTATGCAGTGTAAATTCTAGGCTTTTGAGTAATCCTTTTTTTTTTTTTAATGACCTTTGGCAGTAATAGTTTCTGGATTCCATGCCTTAACAATTGTAAAGGTTACAAGTATAAAGGTTTGTCTGTTGTTCATAGTAGACACAAAAGGAAAGTAAGTACTTTTGTGAATTGTTAACTCTAATAATAATTTATAACATTAGAGGTACATGAAGACTGAAACTTTTTTTTCTGCCAAATTGATTGTCTGAATCAGTTCAAAGTGGGCCAGAGAATTTTAAGTGTATTAACTGAACTTGGTAACTTCAGAATACCATCTACAATAAATAGTAGGTCATAGGAAAAAATTTAGAATTAAGTCTAACAATTACTGTGGTACAAAATAGAATTAAAATTTTTAGGTGTAAAAAAAGAGAGTTGTATTATAGTGTAAACTTACTAAATTCAGTAAAGGAAACATTAAAATTAGGGTAGCTCTGGGATGTTCTTGATTCTGCATTGTAACAGAAAATGCTGTTGAGGAGCAGTATGTTTTTTTCAGAGACCATTGTTGTCTTTGTGCAATACTAACGTAAATGATTGTTTGAATTCCTAAATCCTAGTTAAAGTGCATAAAATTGAGAGAGTATTATGTTTGGAAGAGTTTTGTATCCAGACGGATCTTTGTGCTGTGACGTGGCATGTCAGTGTTATAGCAGCTTGATTGGTTGGGGGAATAACCTGCCAAGGAATATATTTTTAGTCTTTTATTTTTTTCCCTTAGTTTATACCTCATGGGTTTTGGGTCCTTCCTTCCTGTTTGATTTCTAATAATACTGATTTTATAGGTCTTTATGCTGTCTGTTACCACAAATGACTCATCTGTTCTCTTGGCATACAAATAACTATTGCAACAAGGCAGTCTTTGAGAAAATGACACTTTTTAAAATGTGGTGTCAATTTTGGTGGTATTGCTAATAATTTATGATCTGACTTCATCTCTAATTTTTATTTTTATCACTTGTTAACGCAGATGTATATTGAGTATTCTACTGTCTTAATTTTTATTCGGATAAAATAATGAATGTACTTTAGTTGCATAAAATATTGTAAAAGGGTAATGAATCTCCTATTACAGTACAGAAGTAAAGTTCAGTAAAAACATATTCAGAAATGGATGCTGAAGAGAAAAGATGGATCAAATTATAAGTTGTTTCAGTACAAATACCCAACCTGTTCTAAGTGCAATGAAGCTAGTTCTTACGTACTATTAAAATCATATTTACTCAGACTGGTTTACTTTTGACATTAAATATAGTAGACTTGGAGTTTTGTGCAACGAAAGGAACAAAACCTGTTGCCACACTTTAAATATAAGACTCATTGGTGCTGTCATCCCTATGTATATCTTATGGTGTATTATTTTCATCTTGTCCTTAATTTAAAACAAGGTTACTTTTTTAAAAGGAAGATCTATCAAAGTGTAGTATTTTAAAGTTATATTATAATAAAAAATCATGTAGATTTCTCTCTGTTCCATTTTATGAGAGTCAGCAGCTTCTTGAACGACCATACATGAATATTAACCAAAAGAATTTAGGGATTTTTTTAATCACAAGCAACACTTGTGCAACAGCTGCCAGGCCTGTCAATGATGAAGTTCCATGTCTTTAAGTTTTGGAATAACTGTTGTGCTTGTTTTAATTGGAAAGAAATGGTGGGCGAAAATGACAGACTTATGAAAAATTGTGTATTTAAAATACAGATCTACACTGGCATTGGTCTTTAATAGAGCGAAGAACTTGCTCATGAGGCAGGGCTGTCTTACAAGGTTTTGTTCTTTCTAACTTTTCCAACCTATCACTGAAAACTGAAATTACTAGTGACTGTCCATTTTTACTCCTTCCCCCTGCCACATTTTTTTGTTTCTAGTTCTACATTGCTGGCTATCTGTACTTACCAGGAGCTAACTTTGCTTGCTACTTTGGGGCTGTGGCAGACATCTTTGTAAAGATGGCAGATGCCAATCCTTCCTCTGCTCCTTTCCCCCCATGGAATGTGCCTTGTAGCATCTAGATCAGACTACTTACAAATAAGAGGGATGTGATGTTGCCTCTTGCAGGGTAGAGAAACCTCCATCTGAATTTTAATGTTGCATTTCAGCTGAATAAACAGAAAAGTAGTAATCCATTAGTATAACAAACTGCTGCTTTTTACTGTGTACATAATTACAAATAAAGCTGCTTTGTTCTTTTGATCCCTCTATCACTGATGATAAGGTTCCACTGTATATACTTCTGGCACCTAATTGTATTGGCCCAGCTCTTATCTATATTTTTATGCACATCTGCTACTGTACAGTACAGGCTTCAACAAAAACACTAGTTCTCAGGAATAAGTTAATTTCCATTTTGCTTGGAGGAGCTGGAGAGAGCAAATTGTCCTTCTCCCCCCCCTATCCTCAGTGCTTTCAAATGGTACAGGGGCTCCTCCTAAATTTGTAGCAGGGCTTCGGAGAAGATTCTACCATCTTCAGGCACTTAAATTGTGGTTCATATATTTATTTTGTATTTTAATTTTGGATGCTTACTTTCAACCTAGGTTTGAGCCTTTAGTATTAATGTTTTCAAGATTGCTTCTCTCTTAAGTAATCAATTAGAAATGCATTTCCCCCTGAAAATGAAAGCATTAAAATACTTATGATGATAAAATTGCAAGAGTTGGCAGTGCTGTCTCCTTAGGTATCAGGAGAATTGGCTATTTCACTTCTTTAGTTTGAGTGGAACAAGGGCTATCCTGTCTGGAGTGTTTGCAAAACATCTAAAACAACATAGGCACTACATAAATAACTATTTAATAGGTATATACATAAGGCTGAAATAGGGGGAAATTTAAGTCAGATCAAGACCTCTGTCTGTCAGCCTTTCACTTTGGGGGCCCTCCGTTCCCATCCTATTCTTTGGTTTAGTACTTCTGTATCCTTCTACCCATTGGTATGTCAGCATTGTTTTTCCCCAGGATAGTTTTTTGGCACACTTCTATTTGCACAGTTCAGTAGCTTACTCTCTGATAGGAGGGCACAAACTACATTGGTTCACATTAAATTCCATCTAAATTTCTCAAGCACTGGGTACTAAGTACCTGCCAGGTACAGTCATTAAAAAATAAACAAAGGTCTAGTAATTGTACACTATCCCCTCTAGGAACAACCCCCATGATGTTGAGAGGTTGGCTGTATGGATTTGTAAAAAGCCCTGTTGCTTTCTCCTTGCTCACAAAATAACTATAAAGTAAGGTCATTATAAACAGAATTTAGCGCTGGTGAATTGTTGGTGTCTGCTCATAATCCTTTATCACAGAGTTGTAAGTAGGGGACACAAAAATGTAGCCTTCCAATATACAGAGAGACTTTGATATTCAGTTTGTGGGTGAGCTGGCTGTATGAAAGGAATGCTTCAATCCATACAAAGGTAAATGAAAGTAATTGAGAGGGGTGACAACAGCTCCTCTTCTCCCTGCACTGTCCCCCCCGTCCCTCCCCAGTTACTGTTGTAATGAGAACTGTTGCTACTGACCTGTTCTGCTTTCCTTTCAGAATCAAGGCAATTGAAAGCCCCAACAAAGATGACGACACACAGTGGCTGACTTACTGGGTTGTTTATGGAGTCTTCAGCATTGCAGAATTCTTCTCTGATATCTTTCTGTCTTGGTTCCCTTTTTACTACATGCTGAAGGTTTGTTACTTCATTTCTTCCCCCTCTTCCCCCCTCCAATAAGGATTTTGATGGAACTGATTAATATCTTCTGAAGTGATAAACAGTAGTAAGATTTTTTTTTCTGGTTAATTTTTAGACCAATTAGCATATAGTACCAAGTAAACTGCAATGCTAACACTTTCTTGAGGTTAGGGGAACAGTGAAGAGGAGGCAAGGAATTCTTGCTATCTAACACCTTAAGATTTGTGTTGGCATGTACTCATGCAGTGGACAGGTCTTGGGGATATGTCCAAGTTTACACAAGTAGGGGCTAGAAGGAGCAGAGAGGTCACAATGAAAAGTAAAATGTCAGCTTCTTATTATGGTCACTTGTGGAATGGAGAGGGGAATTGGAGGGTAAGGTTATACATTTTGGATTATATAGCTTCATTTGTCCCTTTAAATATTCTTCCCTCCACCTGCTATACCTTTTGTTTCTAGTTCTACATTGAAGGCTATTTGTACATATCAAGCAGAGTCAGCTCAGGGTACTTTGGGGCAGTGACAGATATCTTTGAAAAGATGGCAGGTGCTATCTTTCCCTGCGCCGCCACCCCCACCCCCTTCCAGGAATATAACCCATAGCATCTAGATCAGATCATTTACAAATGAAAGATGGGTGTGATGTTGTCTCTTGAAGTTGCAACACCTTATCACTGAAGTATCTGCAGCCTGCACTTTGACTACAAAGTGGAACCTGCTTAAGATAGTAGGCTTTCTCTGCCAACCGACTTAAGCAATGCAGTTGTTTGAAAGCTGACCCAGAAAGTTATGTTCAACAAAATAGCCAATTGCCATGTGCCCTGAGAGGCAAAGGAAGCTGCAGCTAAAGCAACTGCATTTTAAGTGCAGCAGTTAATTGCTATGTATTTTCTGGATTGGGTTCTCTTTTTCTCTATCCCTATTTCATCCCCTCATTTGCACTTTATTTTTGTAACAACTGGTTGCACAATGCTTAATTCTAAGAAGTAAGTTAGCCCAGTAAAGGTTTTTATATGATCATAGTAACAGTTACAAGTCAGTCATGCAATTTTAACTACTAAGATCTGATTCTCTAGCAAGTCACTGCTGGAAATCTTCCTCTATTTTCTGGGTAGCCAAAAACATGCCAGGGATCTCTTGAAGCAAGCAAAATGTAGATGCTGCTGTAAAGAGTATACAAAGTACTAGTAACATGACCTGCCTTGTTTGGTCAGGTTAACAGTTCTGATGTTATGAAATAAAAATATTATGTTCAGCTGTAGTTACTATCTTAATAAAGAGACATTAACCAACTGAAAAGTTCAGCGAAGACAAAATAATTGGACTTCTAGAAATGGTTTAAAAACATTAAGTACAGCAAAAGCTGTGTTATCCGGCACTTTATCAGCTGGAAAGCTCCACTGACCGGCATCTGAGGGACGTGGCAAAAGCGTAACCGGAAGTCCCACTTCCAGTTTCACCGCTGCAAGCCGAGTTCTTCTTCATCACTTCTTTTGCCCATGACCTGAGGCAAAGCAGCCTGTGCAGGGGCTCCCCTCCCCATCCCCTGGCACACTGATGCCGGGGAGTGCACCAGACAGTGCATATTTGATTAATCGGCATCCTCCATTCCCAGGGGATGCCGGATAACAGAGCTTTTACTGTAAATATATACAGTCTGTCAAAAAACTTGACTAAAGAACATAAGCCTAAAAACAGCTAAAGAGTGTACACATCCACAGAGGGTCCATACATCATTGCTTGGTGTGAATTTTAAAATCTTTTTGTTGAAAATCAAGAGAGCCTTCTGGCAGTGAACAACTGTATTAGACTGTGGATTAGATACCCTGCAGGAGAAGAAAGCTCATAGCCTGGAACCTCTAAAACTTGATTGGGTAAAACACCAGAAGACAGTCTGTAGTGAAAAATAGATCTCTTCTGTCCCTGCTTCCATACTTATATGAGAGAAGCTATGTTCTGACCTTTGGCTGAATGAAGTAGTTGTCATCAGATCTCAGTTATTTCAAAATTTTGTTCAGTCTGCTGCTATGAAATGGGGTAGGTTTCTATCTGAAGATTTCATTATGAAACCCTGTTAATATATCACCATGTTGTTAAGGTTACAAACTATTGAGATTCATTTCTCAAACCACCTGGTATCTCTAGGTCTGCTGGAGAGACTAGGTGAATGTTTTTTACCCAGAACTGATGTTGTGTAATGAGCGCTCGGTGTTCCATGTTTTTTTGTAGAAAACACATGAAGTGTGCACATATTTGCCATAAGCCAGTTCAGCATAGAGATGCCTGAGCTAGCTTGGGCATCAGGAGCATTCTGGCTTTGGTAGCCTGGAGTTCAACATAGCATACCTCACCTGCTTCTCTGTCATATTAGTCTAATCTTAATTAACAGCCAGAGTTGACCTGATTCTGAGCTCCACAATGCCACAGCTACACTCCTACCACTACCTAAGATAGATAATTTTAAATCTAGCTCTTGACACTTACACTGCAGTTACCTGTGTGGCTATACAGCAGACAATCTAAGAGTGCAGCAATGATGATCCTTTTTTTTTTTTTTAAATGTACTTCTCTCTGAGAACGCTCATTTTCTCATTACAAAACAACTGGGGCTATAGTCAGGCAGATGTATGGCTCGTGTCAAAACTTTATAAATGACTGGACAGGCTACATTAGGTTTAGCAGTCTGGCAGTTTCAAATTTAAAATTTCAGAACACAAGACATTTTATATATCAAATGCCAGCAAAATCTGAAAGCAAAATACAGTTCAAATTTAAGCTGTCTTGGAAATGTATCTAATCAACTGCAAAAAGCTTATTTCAGCAAATATAAAAATACAAAAGGCTATTAAGAATAAATCCAGAATTGGGAAGGATTAAATTAATTTGGCCAACCAGAAAGAGGACTGGAATCAAAGCAGCTAATCTTAATCTTAGCCACAAAAAAACCCCAACTTTAAATTGTTTTCACTTTGGCCAGAGAGAAAGTTGGACTTGATGCAGGGGGATTTCCTACAATTAAAGAGTTCAGTTGTGGGGGAGGGAGAGGAAGAGGGGAGAGTGTGTGCATGCACACGCGCGCAGGGAGACAAGTGAAATAATTTTGTCTTTGAATAGTTTAAGAAATATAGTTAATATGTTGGAGCTAGAGAAGTATAAGATGTAGTACTCTTTTATAAAATAGACTAAATGAACAGTCCCATGTAAGTAGAAGCTTTTGAGAAGAACTCTTCAACCCTTTTAGTTTCTCTGACAAGTTGTTTAATGAGACTTACTGCAGTTCCATTTTAATTGCTTACTAGCACCATATTTGTATTACCTCTGAACTTTATTTCTTCAAATTTATTAAATGCTCCAAAACTGTGGGCAGATGCTTTTAATCATTTGCAATTTTTAAATTTTATTTTCTAAGACTTCCTCCTGCCATTGGGGAAAAATAAAATCTCTTTTCAAGCCAGTTTACCAACAAACTCCCATCCACCACAAATTAGAATGTATAGCACTTACCTGATAGTGGTATGTTAAAAGGAGAGTTCAAAATGGCCTAGCAGCAATCAGTAGAAAGAGTTATCCCCCCTTTTTGAGAGAGTCATGCCCCAGCTAGGTGCCTAATTTCTTAATACGATATTTTGGATTTTGCCTTTACTGGAAAAAAAAAGTGTGGCTTTAAAAAAAATGCTAGCTATCTCTGCATAATAGAGAGAGAGATTAGTAGTTTTTGTCTCTCAATTCCTGTTTGAGATAAAGTAAACCCTAGATAAGGCATGCAGACTTGACCATACATAATGTTTTATCATTGAAGAATAAGCCTGGAGGAAAAATAGCAAACTTCTTCCCAGCAACCCCCTCCTCCTTCCCCAATTCTTGTAGCAAATCCTCAATTATAATTTTCAGAATCAAATTTTTGTGGTGACAGTTTCTGACTTAAAATATACTAACAACTTAAATTGAAGATTACGGGCTTTGATTTCCTTTCCTTGTACAGATCAAGCTGCTATTTTAAGCTCTTCAATATTACAGCGAACAAAGCATCCAAATACTCAAATGGTTATTCTCTTTTGTTTTTTTTCCTGAAAGAACACTACCTACCATAAATCAATGAAGTTTTTCAGTCTTAACTTGAGCTCTCAACATTGCCATAAGGAAATCGGAAGAATAGCAGCAACAAAGTAGAGCAATGGCATGACTGAGTATAACCCTGTTCTGGTAGAACAATGTGGTTGCAAAGGTAGCTTTAAATAGTGCTTTGGTATGATGCCAGATACTGGAAACCCATTTGTGAAGAACTACATAAATGACTGTACCCTCATGAGGGGTCTTCTACATCCTGCCAGGCTCTGGAGGTGCTATTATGAAATACCAATCACTTCGGTTGAGTAACTGTTCTGTTTTAGGCAGAAATATTAGTACTGCCAATTGATAAACTTACCTAAGATGATCATGCTTTTTAATTACTTATATATTTGCCATACTTTAGCTGCCTGGACTGAAATTTTCTATTTTGCATTGTATCTGCATCCAGTGGAGGGTCTTTGGAGAGCTTCAGCTATTTCTGGCAATAAAGATATGGGAAAATGTTTTGGGTTTTTTTTCTTCTTTTTGCTGATTGTTTTGCTGCTTGCTTACCCTGGAGCAGGGATGTAACCCTCTGCCTTTGTATCAGGGGTTTATCTTGCTGCTACTAGGTTTCCTGGGTTTTTTCTTTGAAAAATCTGCCAGCACATACTCCATAGAGACTTAGAGTTTAGCCTCAAGATTTCTAATTGGAATGTACTGACCTGCAGAGCTGAAGCCAGATTTTCTCTCTTGTTTTTATAGCTGTTCTGTGTTAGGGCAGGATTAGAACAGAAACTAAGGAACCTTACTTTCCTGTCCTTTGAATGGCCTTTATCATGTATACACCCAAGCTACATGGAAGAGGAAGCTGTTTTGAATAGAAAGGACAAAAGCTGAACCAGGAGAGGGAATGGCATTTGATTGGGAAGAAGGGAAGGCATGGGAGCCTAGAACTGGTGGGGAGCTTTATAAAGAGCAGGCTTTTCTGCACAACCCTTCTTCATCTATACAACAGGTCTATCCTGAGCACTGAATTTGTAAATTGCTTACTGGGTCAGCTGAAATCAACAGAACTCTTGTGAATTATAGGCAGAATTTGGCCCAGTTTTAGTTAGTAATATAAAAGTATCTCATTTAAACAGATTATCTTTTCTCTCGGCACCTCAGTGGAAAGGGAACTCATTACTAGTGCTTGAGAGTCAGGAAAGACTTTTACGTTACTAACTAAAACTGGGCCAAATAGACTCATTACCCTCATTTTATAGCTAAGCAACTGAGGACACAGAAACTGACTGCTGGCTTAAGTGCAGGTGTGGTGAGTGTAGGGCATTAATATGGAGAGAATGCTTTTAATGTAAAAACGAGAGAACCTATCTTTTAATATTAATACTGGTACAATGTACTTTCCCCTCAGTATGCACAGTTACACCAATATAAAGGTACCTTATAAACACATGTCTTACCGGCTTCTTCTGATCTGGGTATTAAGTTTTATCAGTACGTGCACTCTCTCTGGACATCTGTCCCCTCACAAAGGGCTTTGTGTACTGCTTTACCTGTATTGTGTAGATGGAGTATTTCAATGCTTGCATATGTAAAAAAGTTTTAAATAACCTTCAACTTATTTTCCAAGTGTGCTGGACCTGGGGAAAGAACTTGTATGTCTCATCCTACATCCTCTTCTGCTTTCTTGTTCCATGCAGTGCGGTTTTCTGGTGTGGTGCATGGCTCCAAGCCCTTCCAATGGAGCAGAGCTTCTCTACCATCGAATTATCCGCCCTTTCTTCCTGAAGCATGAGGCTCAGCTGGATGATGTTGTAAAAGATCTGAAAGACAAAGCTGCAGAAACTGCTGATACCATCACCAGGGAAGGTGAGGCCAAGACTGAAAAGCCTATAAAAAGAATTTGCAATTTTACCTTTCCAGTATCAGTGCTTTAGGAAAAAGTCAAGAATGTTGGTATTGTTAGATGCTGCTTTTCAAGATGTTAGGGTTGAGGGGGGCAGTGTTGTTTGAATGGGGAAATTAAGTTTGTTTGAAGGTCCAAGAAAGAGGCATGGTGCTTCAAGTCTGCTGTTTTTTAGAGCATGTTAATTCTAAATGGCTGTTGTCTTGCTTGAATCCCAGTCTGAGGAGAGAAGGGACCTCCTAGAAAAACAGCTGAAGCATCTTTAGACCATAAATTATATTGTCACTTGAGATTTCCCTTTATTCTCTAATTTCTCCATTTTTTTTTTCTATTTGTACTTATATGTGACCTTTACTAGGAGAACATACCTGGTGTTATATACAATATCAGTTATAAAATAGATAACTTCCATTTTCTCTACTGTTTCTGTTCTATTGCCTATGTTTTATGCCTATTCTGTTACTTTCCTCCTCTTTCATTCTTTCATCTTTCTTTTGTTTCCCATCTTTAAATACCTTTTAGATATGATGGTTGTATATACATCTTTTACATCTTGCTAACACTATCCCAGTTCCACATCATTTGACTAGTCTGTTTCTTGCTCTGGATTTTATAGTAGAGTTACAAAATATACATCTACTTTAGCTTAGTAAACCCAGTTTTTCATTTTAAATGGTACTACTTAGACTCATCACTGCTTCCCTATAATATAAAGCTTAAGATTCTGTCGTTAAGGTTATAGGAAATCTGATTTCATTCCCTGATTCTCCTCAGGTGGGTTTGGTTGGTTAAATGTTGTCCTTCTACTGGAGGTGGGATTTGAGTCCTTTACATCTCAATAGCAGTAAAGCAAGTTACTTCTAGTATGCTAAAAGTTAACACTTATCTTTTTTTTTTCCCCTTCCCCCTTTCCATCTTACAGCCAAGAAAGCTACAGTGAATTTACTGGGTGAGGAGAAGAAGAGTACTTAAAACAGTTAACTGGATGAAGAAAGTTTCCTTCCCCCTCCCCCTTTATAAAGCTTGATGTTACTGGGGACTGTGGTATAATTTTAACAATGTTGCCTTGGAAACATTTTTGATATATTAGGGGAATGTGTTGTAAGTTTTGCTTACTACTTTGCTGTTGTCTGTATAAAAAGTGAGCATTTTTATTTAAATGCAGTGCAGTGAACAGCATCTAAAGCTTATTGAAAATATTTTATTAGTCACTGTGCAGAGGAAGATCTTTCAGTAGCTTCCTCTTGCAGTAAACATAAATAAAATGATATATCCCACAGGCTCTGCAATTCAGTTTTTCTTTATGCATGCATTCTCTGTAGTTCTGTTAACATTTAACTGTGGTTCTTCCTGTAATGTACAACCCTTGTATGGAAAAAATGCTCCAAATGCATTTTCATGCATATATTTACATATACAAGGAATAGTTATCAAAAGAAAGTGTTTTATGATACCTCCCCACTAATGAAGTTGTAAATGATTTAAGTTGAGTGCAGTAGGCACCTGGTCACAGAGATTCTGTGTTGCACATGTGTGTATTCTTAAATGAGTAGAGGTTACACACAGAAAAGAGTACTTTGGTGCCAGTGACCAAATTTATACTGGTGTGACGTTATTTGCCAGAAATGGATGCACTGAATTGCTTGTCTAAGGTGAGTAAAACCTAGTCCCTTCCTTGTTTAGTTAAATGCAGCAGGCATCTAAAACTAAGAATGGAGTGCCTTATAAATAAATTGACTCAGAAGAAAAGCAGAGGTACCTTTCACTGAAAATTAGTGCTACTCTGAAAATTAACTAAAAA